CAGAGCGGCGCCGTAGATATGACATTGGTGGGCTAGACGCCATCAAAGAAGGTGGAGGTGGAGGTTAGTTTAAGCTGCGATGATGCTGCGCAGTTTTAACGTTTTTTGATTATGACTATGGCTGAACCATTTGCGCTTTAGGCGGATTTGGTGGCGACCTGTTTTCTCATATATTTGGTGACGATGACGACTCACCTTTCAGCGGGTTCTTCGGGATGGGTGGTGGTGGACGACGGTAAAAGTGATGCCCTTCTGTTACTCCGCCCAAACTGATTAATGATTGTTTCAGACGAACTCGGCGGAAGTTCCAGGATACTGTGTATCCCTTGAATGTCACATTGGAAGAAGTCTATATGGGTAAAACATCGAAGCTTCGATTATCAAAGAAGGCGCTGTGCACGAAATGCAAAGGGTATACTATATTGATGTTGCACCTTTGTCAAGTAAAAGTTACTCAACGGGAGAGAGGAAAATGTCAAATACCGTTTTCTTAACCTAACTTTCTTAAGCTAACCGAGAAGAACTGTTTCTTTGTATGGGTTCTTATTCGATTGTACTTGGCGAAATGTATTTTATGGTTAGATCATTTGTATCCACTCTCAACGGGTGGCGAGAGAATCAGCATAAGTGGTGTGAAGCAGTTGAGACATGCTTTCCATAATAAATGGAGGCTGAAACTTAGTGACGAATTGTCTCGAGTCATTTTTAGTAGTTGATTGTTTCCATCACCATTTTCAGAACTGGTGGAAAAACTGGGCAATCTTACGAATGTCACTCTTGTCGTGGTCGAGGAGTGAAGAATCTTGTACAGCAAATTGGTCCAGGAATGGTTCAGCAAATGCAAGTCAGATGTAACGACTGTGGAGGGGAAGGTAATCACGCTTTTTTAACCAATATTATCGCGTTGGTGGACTATAATATTCATTTGACAGAAAAATGAAATTTGCTAAACACCAGTCCCGAGAGCTCAGGCTAACGGTAGGTTGTTACGAACAACGTTAAGGTTATCCCGTAAGGGGCGGATGCTCTCCCATGAAATCTCTGTTTGTCGACAGAATCGATCACTAAAGTATGGCATCTTTGTAGCTCCCGATTCTTCACTTCGTCATGACAAAATAAGCAGCCATTAAGTTGAGCGAAACCTGGCATATAAAAAGTAGAATAAAGTAATGAATAGAAATGACGAGTTGCAAAATCAATCCTCTTCTTAGCTCGATTATGTGTCTCGCGGTCTGCGTTCTGCATTGTTATGGTGTTTCACGGTCCAGACCACTGGAGCACATAAAAAAGTGAAAAGCAATGGAATCTAGTAGAAAAAAATCTCTAAGGAAGAATTCCAGATCAGCTTGCATTGGTACAGTGAACTTTCTGACGTGATTAAAGTGGGTCATGCTCAATACGCTCGGTGTGTGATTGTTCGCAAGTTGCACAGTAAAGAATTTTTTATTTTAAAACTTGAAAATTAGCACACCCAACGACGGCGCATGTAATTTTTTTAGCTTTCGGTCGCGTGGGACGAGCGCGATTTTGTGCGCCATGTTCCTCCCACATCTGTGGATTTTGTGCAGTAAATAAAAAAATCGGCACTATCACCAAGAAATTTCCGCTATGGTAAGGATGTGAAAGGTATTTCGATTGAAAAGCATGTAAGACCCGTAGAAAACACAAAAGTTGTTAACCGTTCGTACAGTGAATAAATATATTTGTTCGATTATTTCACATAGTAGCATGCCTTATTCCACGACTTGATTTACTTCCTTAATTCCTTTTCATTCATCGCTTTAATGTAATATAAAAGAATTGTAAGAAAATCAACTTTGTGAAAATTTACACCACACGCCCGAGAATTTTTTCGCCAAACTGAAACATTTGTCTTACAGTGAACCACGACGTTTGGAGTTATATATGATTCCCTAATACCACCAATATATGGGAATATTTAGGAAAATTATGATATTAGGCACATTCAAATTATATTTATGTTTCTGTTCGCTTAGTAAGCACACAGTGCACGGATAGGAGGGAAGGTGACGGCGCTCGCAGAATCGCACCCATTTCACGCGATCAAACCCAAAGCGAAAAAACGGCGTCGTCCTGAGTGCATTGCATTGCTACCTTCAGTGGAGGGGGGACCCACCACTTAAATGAAACAGAACCAGTTCCATGATCGCGTAGCGGCATCCGAAGAGAGACTTCACCGCCTACCAGGGAGTCCTTGTATTCACACAGAAATCATCCACTGTGTTTTCATTGGAAAGCCGTACACCCCTTTCTGCTACCCAGTACGCGCTCGTGTGACGACAAACTTTCTTCCGACCACCTTCTAAGGACCTGCTAAAAATTTTCGGCGAACTTTTTTTTGTTTAGACAGTGGGAACGGCCGGTGCTTGCGCGCAGTCATAAGTGCACTAGGTGAAATCAAATTGTGTAAAAAGTGCGCCGTTCAGAAGTTCCAGTTCCGATTTTCATTGAGTAGGTGGGCTCTCCAACGCTGTGCGACAGCCGAAAGCTATGCCTATGCTTAGGCTTATGCTTAAATTCGGACAAGAGAGGGCAAGACCTAAGCCTAGGCTTTGGTTTGTTGATGTCATCAGTGAGAGTGACGACGCCAAAGATGACACCCTATTCGAGCTTTTGAAACGCAGGCTGGCGCCGATATCCGTGAAGAAGGGTTGCTCATGTAAAGATTCCGCGTGAAAAGTTTAAAAAATGTCTAGGGCACACTTTTGAGTTTGTTTATCGCCGAGTCACCACAGAGCACATCACCGAGGCCGCCGCAACTTGCCGCCTTTGCTGTCTGATACTAAGGATAAACTAATACGTAAGAGGCACGAGCCACAGTGTATTTATTTATCCGTAAGACCGCGGTGAGTTCTACATACAACTCGCGCCCCCCGCTCCACCAAAAAAAAATCCTCTCCGGTCCAGTGCTACTCGGGGGGCCGGCTCCCCCAGATTTTTGCACATGGATATCCACCATGTAGGCCCCAACCCTTAGGCCTAGGCGGCGTAGAGTAGGAGTATTAGTAGTAGTATACAGACTCGATAAGAGTATTTTGCGCCCAGGGTGAAGCGAAATGTAGCTTTTCCGCAGACGAAGGGAACGTCAGCAGCCTGGCGAGGCATTGCTCATCCTTTTTTTTGCCTCGTATCTCTGCCCGCTCATCGATAGGGCACCACACAGCCTGTAATTCCTCGCTTTTGCACTCTGAGCAACAGAGCAACAGCATTCCACTTCAGGCATCCATGTGTGTCTCACAGTTTATCTTTCCATACCTGTTTAGGTTCACGGATTCCCGAATCAGACAAATGTAGCAACTGCAGGGGTGAAAAGAGCGAGGAAGTCAAGAAAATTTTGGAGGTAGTCAATGTTTGATAGTGTAGTGATGAGGTTTATCAGAGCTTCAAGGTCTTTTGTGACAGTTTCCTTCGTTTGAAAACGACAGTAAAGTTTTCAAATGTTAAGGTTCACGTCGAGCCTGGAATGCGCCATAACGACAAAATCACATTCCCAGGCGAGGGAGATCAATCCGATGTTCGTTTTTGTTTATGTTGCTTTATGCTTTATTATTTAAATTTCACTTCATTTATTTTTCTAGCTTGTTTTTTAGCCACAGACATTGAGCCTGGTGACGTGGTCATTGTCATACAAGTAAAGCATCATAATTCCGAGAGGGAGGGCGACGATCCTCATCGCGAAAAAGTATATAATTTTCCTATCAATCTGCTGCACTTTTGACCAGTGCTTATATTCATGCACATTTAGAACTATATCGTTAAACGAGGCTTTGTGTGGATATGAAATTCCTTTGAAACACCTAGACGGACGTACTCTTATTCTCAAGAACAAACCGGGCGATATAATCACACCAGGTACTTTTGAAACAGTCTTCCTCTTTCAAGTTCGCCTTGCACTACGTGAGTAGAAACATCCTGGTCTGCAGTTGTTCTGCAAATGCTGCACGAGCACCGTATCTTCACCAACCGTTTCCCCTTGTCAGAAACATGACTATGCCATAACGTAATTTTTGCAGATTGCGTGCGTGGCATCGTAGGAGAAGGCATGCCACAAAGGCGTCATCATGACATCCGCGGAAATCTCTATGTAAAGTTTGACGTCACATTTCCTAACGATCATTTTCTCGAAGATGAGACGAAATACAAGGTTAATTCCGCTTTGAATTCGCATTAATTCATAAATTGAGCTCTCAATTCTTAGGGAACATTCCAAGTCGGTACATAGTTGAAGTTACTTTCAGATTATTGAGTCTGCATTCCCTCCAGTCCGAAAAATCGCACATCCTCCAAATTGCGAAGAGGTTAGTGTAGATCAAAGTGATCTTGATTTTTCAAAAAAAGTTCATGGCCCTCATTGTTCGTTTCGTTTGATTTGCTTTTCGCTGTTCATAATTTTTAGTTTTTTGGATCTCTGTTCCTTCACGCTGTTTGAGGATGAGGTTGAATTGTGCATCATTTGGACTAGTTTCAAATAACTTTTGCGTTTTCAAATGCTCGATAAGCTTGGGCGGTACACGGTTTCTCTTTCCCTATATGTCCCTCACTCGCGGTCAGAATCGTGGAAGTTTTCGAATGCGACCTATACGGGTGGTGTTCTTGCCTTTTTTTCTTCGAGGAGAGTTCCTTAGGTCGCCATGGCCGTTCTGGATGAGATCTATTTCATTAGGTTTAGCAATAATTAGCCGCCGTTTTCATTTCCTTATAAGCTTATTAACAAAACCAAACAAAAACAACAATAAATGCGTAATCAACAAACGCTCTCGAACAGTCCTCTCTGCAACCGTGCCTTCATCCAGGCTTCATTGATTCTACGAGCAGATGCAGAAGCATTCTTTCGGGCTCAATTTGCACTCATGCAGCATGAGCAATCGTATTTTGCTGTGTATAAGCACCACAGTGAAGCACATACAAAAGCGTTTGAATCAATATGTACAAGTGCTTATCCATAGACTTAATTACCTTACCGCCGTAAAGTGAGCGACCGATGACCGCTTATAGTGCCCGTGTTGCACACCCGAGACGTTTTTGCGCTAAACAGGTAAGATGTCGTGTCTAGAAGGGCGGTCTACTTCCGGGAAAATGTTGTAGCCAACTTTGGAATTTTGGGATTAGCGCAATAGACCCGATTGCGACAAGGAAAAAGTGGTCCTGCTTATTTAGTGACACCACTGCAGCGTTATATCCTTATCCAGCTTGCCGGAGTTCACAAGGTCACTCAGTACTACGAGCTGAGAGAACACCATCAATTGCCCCACTTCATCAAAGATGGGTCAAAATCACAGGTTTGGCAGTAAACTTGTTCGGATAGGTGGGTGAATCACCTTTTTTGATGCCAAGCTGTTAGTGCATGCGCTATGAGCGCTCATAATCGTATGTAGTAATCAAACTTGCTAGGAGTTGCGCTGTCTTCTCTCAGAAAACTAAAAAAGGCTCCGACGAAGTCAGGTCGAAGAAGTTCTTCACCCTTATTGCTGAAAAAGCTTGCTTGTTTACTAATGAAGGTCGATCCCACGATCTCGTGCCTTCGAGACCATACTGATGAAATTGCTTTACAACTAGCTCACTACTCGATTACCTTTGTATGCGAAATTTTTCGGATAAAAGAGGCTGTATGACTCGCCGCAAGCTTTTTTCCAAAGAATATCAAACACAGGATGGGGTCGCCGTGTTCCTGGACTTACCATTGCGAAATTGCAATTTGAAGGTCTAGAAAAGTTGAATCAACCCGGTCATGCGTCCTCGCATGTTGGAAAAGAGGTCCGAAACCCTGATGCTAAAATCTCGACATTGAATGAGGGCCGTTCTCGATCGTTACTTGCTCAAAAAAAAAACAGAGTAATAGCCTTTAATGTGTCAAACTTTTCTTTTGCTACTATTCAGAATGTCATTCCCGCCTCAAGAAAGGCCAATCGGTATTTCATTCAATCGAATGAGTGTGATACGAGAGAAGATGAAGAAGGCTTAATTCGTATATGAATGCGGGTTCAGGTTGGCAAGGTTGGAATTCCCACTCAAAAAAGGATCACAACATGATACTTGAACCCACACAGACAGCGCTTTCGTGGAAATGGTAAAATTAGTAACAAGACCTTCTGCGGAAATTTCCTCCCTAGACAATCTTGAATGGTGAAAAAAGCTTGTCTTCGCCTATCTGGGTGGAGGGGAGGTTCATCAGTTAGGTAATTTCAGAAGAAGTGGAAAATTCAATATCAGCTTGCCAACATGTCAGGTAGATAATTAGGATTATAATGGGGTGCTTGCTTTCCTGAACTACAT